ACTCACTCACTCACTCACTCACTCACTCACTCACTCACTCACTCACTTCTTCCTTTTTGAGTTGCTGGGGCTCACTGGTGCACATGCCCAGCAGTCACTGTGTGAGAGGTGGGGACACACCCTCCAGTCCATCACAGGGACACAAAGAGACAAACAACCATTCCGTCTCTCATTCTCACCTAGAGACAATTTAGTTACCAATCAGTCTAACATGCATGTTTTTGGTCTGTGGGAGTGTTATGGCCTGAGGAAACCGGAGTACCTGGAGAAAACCCACGCATGGACAGAGAGAACATGCAAACTCCACCCAGAAAGGTCCAGAAAGGCCCTGGCCTGGATTTGAACCGGCGACCTGCTCGCTGAGAGGCAGCAGCCTACAAATGATCTATTCCAGATAATTAGATTTTTTTCCAAAATAATCCAACAGTAAATATTTCCAGAATATTTCCAGAACATCTGGTTTAGAATTCAGAATGTGGGTCTGGTCTAGACTGCGGAGTCTGCAGAGTTTCAAAGTTATATTTTTACAGAGTATCGTGTATGACTTCACCCTGCTTCCACAATAACAGTTTAAAACGTGAAAGTTACTTTTTTTAGTGCTTAACATACATTTTATGTCTGACCCTTTTGAAGAGACAAATAACAGCAAAAAGTGTTGTTTTTATAAAATGCATTTTATTTAATGTGGAACCAGTGACCCGAAAAGAAAGAAGCAGGTAAAAGATAATGGATGAATGTTTTTTTTAAGTCTTAGAAGCCTGGAGTGAAGCCTCAACAAATTCAGAACAAAGTTAACATGTTTGTCTTTGCATGTCTGTTTTTGTCGTCAGCGTTTGATGAGTTGGTAGAAGCTTACTCTGAGCAGGCCCGAGGTCTGTTGGATGGAGGGGCAGACATCCTTCTGGTTGAAACGATCTTTGACACAGCCAACGCCAAGGTAACTTTGTTCTTCTCTGAAACGGGGAAAGAATTACAAGTAATCCTCGAGTGAAATCCTTATTGGATAAAGTCCATCATCACATAAAATCTGTGCACCTACACATAATTAGCTACATTAGCATGCTTTGCTGTAGCAGTGGCATTTTCAACACATTATTACACAAAGCCAAACAAACACTAGTAGAAAGCGAAGATTCAGATGTTCCCTCTCACAGGGCAGAAACATGAATAACATTTGTAATTTTACTACTTAACGTGTTCAAAACATGAAATGAGCCAGTCTGAAAGCTGACTGCTAATCCCTCCTTGTAGAAAGAGGATGTCCTCTCGGTGCATAAAATGACAGTTACTGTCAAGTAAGGTTGTATTTTATTTGATAAACACGAATATCACATCAAATACAAAATACAATACACACTGTGACCACACACATTATTGTGCAGCAAATAAGTTTGTCAAGAAACTTGTATAGTTTCCATAAGTTTCCATGAGCTCTAGAATTGCGCCGCTCAAGGTGGCTGCATGTTGGAGCAGCTCTGTTACTTTCATTCTGAGATTTTGCTTTTGGAAACTTTTAATTCCTCTTTTTCTGGATGTAAGTCACATTTTTGGATGATTGTTTCCTCTGGTATCGATGCTGTGCAGCTGGAAGGATTTTTATTGAAGCTTTTGTTAGTTTTGGACATTTGTTATGATGCGTAACCATGGCAACAAGGCAATTTTCTACAACCAACAGCAGCTGATTAACATCTCAAAAGCTCAAATAATATCTCAGCTACAGCCCCAAATCTCAAATGAGTTGAAAGGATGTTCTGTGGACGCATTCTCATCTACCTGACAGCTGTACTCGAGTGCCTGAGCACTGAGGTCCTGGAACTAACAGGAAACATGACTCATGACAGCAGAAGGACAGTATCGTCCCTCGGCACATACAGTTGGCTGTCCGCAGTGACAAGGAGCTCGGCAGACTGCTGGGAGGAGTGACCATCGCTCTGGGAGAAGTTCTGCCCGGCACTCGAGAGGTCCTACAGCCCGGGGGAACCGAGAGGCCAGTCGAGTCTGGGTGGACGGATCGGACGGCAACTGCAGCCAGTTTCTTAGGATCCACTGTGGGATGGACCTTTACAAGAGATCCTTCCTGTCTACAGCTATCAGCATCTATAACATCTCTTAATGAAATGAGGATAAGTTACAACAACAAATAATTTCCCTTTGGGATTAATAAAGTATTTTTGAATTGAATTTGAATTGAATTGAATTGAATAAGTACCTGGAGCTCTGTTAAGTGATGCGCTGCAGTAATTCAGGTGTATTTTAAAGTGTTAAAAGAAAGGGACTTTATTAATTTAAAACGCACATTCTGTCTGCTGCACACTGTCAAACAAATGTTTGGGGAGCTCTTTAATGTTTACCTTCTTATTTGTCGTCAGGCTGCCCTGTTTGCCATCGACCTGCTTTTTGAGAAGAGCTACGAGAGGAAGCCGATAATTGTACGTTTATACTTCACTCATGTTCCTTTGATTTTTGTTAACTTGTTTTATAATTGGCAGTTTGTTGCTTATAAAATAAAAAATACATTAATTGGTTGATTTAGCTTAAAGTTAAATATGAAATGACTGTAATTTCTGGACTATAGAGTGCACACACAATAAATAAAAATAAATAAATAAATAATTGTACATATATAAGCCGCGGGTGTTCACGTTGTAACATGAGATATTTAGACAGAAAGATGTTACACAAAAATAATTTTTAAACTTAATTAAATGCATACCAGTAATATACACAAATACAGTTGAAACCAGAAGTTTACATACACTATTTAAAAAGACACATGCATTTTTTTCACACTGTCTGACGTAAAATCAGAACAAACTTTTTCTGTTTTGGGTCAGTTAGGATTACCAAAATGTTTTCTATTTGCAAAATGTCAGAATAACGAGAGTGAGATTTTTTTAAGGCAATTTTTATTACTTTCTTCCAAGTCAAAAGTTTAAATACATTAAGATTACTATGCCTTTAAAGAATTTGATGATATGTCTTTGGAGCTTCTCATAGATTTATTGATAACATCTGAGTTACTCAGAGACACACCTGTGGATTTAATTTAAGGAACACCTGAAACACACTGCTTCCTTGTGTAACATCATGGGAAAGTCAAAAGAAATCAGCGAACATGTCAGGAAGAGAATTGTGGACTTGCACAAGTCTGGTTCATCCTTGGGTGCAATGTCCAGATACCTGAAGGTGCCTCGTTCATCTGTACAATTATAATCAAGTACAAACAAGATGGGAATGTCCAGCCATCATACGGCTCAGGAAGGAGACGGGAGACAGGAGACTAAGGACACTATCCTGACTGTGAAACACGGGGGTGGCAGCATTATGTTGTGGGGTTGTTTTGCTGCAGGAGGGACTGGTGCACTTCACAAAATAGATGACATCATGAGGAGAGAACATTATGTGGAAATACTTGAAGCATCATCTCAAGACTTCAGCTAGCAAGTTAAAGTATGGGCTCAAATGTTTTTTCCAAGTGGACCATGACCCAAAGCATCCTGCCAAACTGGTACAAAGTGGCTCAAGAAGAACAAAGTCAATGTTCTGGCGTAGCCATCACAAAGCCCTGATCTCAGTCTTATCGAAAACTTATGGGCAAAACTGAAAAGGCACATGAGACCATGGCAGCCTCCAAACATGGCCCAGTTCCACTAGTTCTGTCAGGAGGAATGGGCCAAAATTCCTGCCACCTATTGGGAGAAGCTTGTGGAAGGATATCCAGAACGTTTGACCCAAGTCATACAGTTTAAGGGCAAGGGTACCAAATACTAATGAAGTGTATTTAAACTTTTGACTTGGAAGAAAGTAATAAAAATTGCCTTAAAAAATTCTCACTCTCATTATTCTGACATTTCACAAATAGAAACATTTTTGGTAGTCCTGCGACCTGTTCGGTAATTTCATTGGTCAAATTTTTTATTTATTTTTTACCTTTATTTGAGTAGGTAGTCTCATTGAGTCACGAGGACTCACCCCGCAAAAGAGACTTGTATTGGGCAGCTCTGTGAGCGCTCAGTTGAGACGAAGCTTTAATGTTTTTGGCAGCAGGAAGCTCGTTAGCCCATTAAAAAAAAAATCCATAAATTAACCACAGCATTGTATAAGCCGCGGGGTTTAAAGCCTGTAAAATAATGTAGTGGCTTATAGACCAGAAATTACGGTACCTTATTTTTCTCTAAAGATATTATAATGCAGATTTAAACATTTGCTGTGTTCACTGTTTAACTGTAAATAAAATAGGTTTTATGAGATGTACAAAACACTGCATTCATATTTATGATTTTGATCTGTGATTTACACATCTGAATTTCTCCAGGATTGGAATTTAAATTATTTTTAGCCCATGGCTACTGTAGTTAAAAAAAATAGTGATAACATTACTTTAAATTGGACTGAAAACAGAGGATCTGTAAAATAAAGAGATGAGCAGGTTTGTAGATTTACTTTTTTGTCTTGTTTAACTTCTCCTCCAGATCTCAGGGACAATTATTGACCGGAGTGGACGAACCCTTTCGGGTCAAACGGGCGAAGCTTTTGTAGTGAGTGTATCTCATGCCAAGCCGCTATGGTGAGTTACTGCATATAACAGCTAACACATTCACCTCCAAGATTTGTAAAAATACTCCCAACCAATTAAGTAGCACTTTGTTTCTCATTTTGTTGCAGTATTGGCCTGAACTGTGCCTTGGGGGCCACAGAGATGAGACCATTCATTGAAGTCATTGGCAAAAGCACCACAGCTTTTGTAATTTGTTATCCCAATGCAGGTACTTTCATCTTCTTCTTCTTTCAGCTTTTCCCTCTTCAAGGGTCTCCACAGCGAGTTATCCCCCGCCATCTAGCTCTGTCCTCTGCATCTTCTGTCCTCACTCCAACTACCTCCATGTCCTCTCTAACTGCATCCATATATTTCCTCTTTGTCTTTTTCCTGGCAGCTGCATTTCTAACATCCTTCTACCAATATACCACTGTCCCTCCTCTGGACATGTACAAACCATCTCAGTCCATGTCTCTGTCTCCAGACCATACAATATAGCTGGTCTCACCACTGTCTTGTAAACGTTTCCTTTGACCTTTGCTGACACCCTTTTGTCACAAATCACTCCTGAAACTTTTCTCCATCCACTCCATCCTGCCTGGACTCTCTTTTTCACCTGTTGACCACATTCCCCATTTTCCTGGACAGTGGACCCCAAGTACTTGAAGTCCTGCACCTTTGTGACCTCTGCTCCTTGTAGCTTCACTGTTCCACCTCCTCCCTCTCATTCACACACATGTACTCTGTCTTACTACGACTGACTTTCATTCCTCTTCTTTCAAGTGCATATCTCCACCTCTCCAAGTTCTCTTCCACCTGTTCCCTGTTCTCATCACAGATCACAATGTCATCTGCAAACATCATAGTCCACTGGGATTCTTGCCTGACCTCATCTGTTAGTCGGTCCATCACCAGAGCAAACAAGAAGGGGCTCAGAGCTGATCCTTGATGCACTCCCACCTCCACCTTGGAGCTATCTGTCACTCATACAGCACATCTCACCACTGTCCTGCTGTCCTCATACATGTCCTGTACTAGTCTAACATACTTCTCTGCCATTCCAGATTTCCTCATGCAATACCACACCTCCTCCCTCAGCACCCTGTCATACTTTTTCTAAACCCACAAAGACACAATGGAGTTCTTTCTGACCCTCTCTGTACTTCTCATCAACATCCTCAAAGCAAAGATGGCATCTGTGGTGCTCTTTCTTGCCATGAAACCATACTGCTGCTCACAGATAGTCACCTCTCATCTAAGTCTAGCTTCCACAGCTCTCTCCCAGATCTTCATTGTGTGGCTCATCAACTTCATTCCCCTGTAGTTGCTACAACTCTGTGCATCACCCTTGTTCTTAAAAATGGACACCAGCACACTTCTTCTCCATTCCTCAGACATTTTCTCACCTTCAAATATGAGTCAAAAACCTCACTGCCATCTCTTCAAGACATTTCCAAACCTCCACTGGGATATCATCAGGTCCTACTGCCATCCCCTTCTTCCCTCACTAATCTTTTCCACTCCCTGGTCCACTGTTTCTATGGCCTTTACTCTTCTACTCTTCTTTCTCTTTCATTCTCTTCATTCATTAGCTCCTCAAAGTACTCCTTCCATCTTCCCATCATACTCTCCTCACTTGTTAGAACATTACCATTCCTATCTTTAACAAGCCTAACTTGCTAAACATCCTTTCGAGCCTGATCTCTCTGTCTCGCCATCATATGCCTTCTGCTTTGCCTTAGCTACCTCCCTCTTTGCTCTACGTCCCATCTCCTTATATTCCTGTCTCCTCTGTCATATTTCTTCTTGACTAACCTCTTTCTTTGAACGGCGTCCTGCACTTCACTATTCCACCAGGTTTGCTTATCATCCATTCTCTGTCCAGATGACACACCAAGTACCTTCCTACCTGTCTCTCTAATTACTGTTGCTGTAGTCATCCAGTCATTTGGAAGCTCTTTCTTACCACCCAGAACCTTTAACAGCTCCTCTCTGAATTTCTCACAACATTCATCCTTCCTAAGCTTCCACTGTTTGGTTTTCTTCTATGATTTTACTCTTTTTCTCTTCTTCACAACAACAGTCATTCTACACACAACCATCCGATGCTGTCTGGTCACGCTCTCCCCTGCCACAACCTTACAGTCTCCAATTTCCCTCATGTATCCTCTTCTACACAGAATGTAGTCGACCTGTGTACTCCTTCCTCCACTCTTATAGCTCACTCTATGTTCCTCCCGCTTTTGGAAATATGTGTTGACTTCAGTAATTTCCATTCTCTTGGTGAAATCCACCACTATCTGTCCTTCCTGTTTTTTTCCCTTGGCACAAAACATACCCATCACTTCCTCATCCTCTGTTTCCTTCACCAACATGTCCATTCAGGTCTGCTCCGATCACCACTCTTTCCTCCCTGGGAATACTTTCTTATCACTTCATCCAGATCTTTCCAAAATGTATATTTCTCTTCATCATCACATCCAACCTGTGGAGCATAACCACTGACAACATTTAGCATCAGACCTTCTACTTCTACCTTCAGGCACATCATCCTATCTGACACTCTTTTCACCTCTACTACATTCTTTGCCAACTCCTTCAGGACCACCCCTACTCCATTTCTCTTTCTATCCACACCATGGTAAAACAGTTTGAACCCTGCTCCAATGTTGCGAGACTTGCTGCCCTTCCACTTGGTCTCTTGGACACATAAAACATCTACCTTCCTTCTCTGCATCTTGTCTGCCTGCTCTCTACCTTTGCCTGTGAGCTGTGACAATTTAGAGTTGCAACACTCAGTCCTACATTCTTGACTTTCCTCTTCTCCCTCTATCTCCTGACATGTTTCCCTTTTCGTGGCCTTTGACTAACAGTAGCACAATTTCTGCCAACACCGGTGTTTGTCAACAGCACCGGTGGTGGTCGTTGTTAACCCGGGCCTCGACTGATCCGGAATGGTGTCGCTTAGATGAACTTTCCTATTAGTTTTGACAAAAGTGTTTTACGTGATTCCCTTCCTGACACAACCCTCACCATTTACCTGGGCTTGGGACCGGCACAAGAGATACACTGTGCTCCCTAGTGGCAATACTGGTACACCATTATTACTGAATTTAAAATATTAGAATGGTTTTGCATGTGATTTTTTTAAAAGCTACTGCTGCTAACAAGCTAGCATTCACTACTATTAGCTTCCCTGCCTGTGCCGCCTTTTATTTTCATCTTCAACTTCATACCGCTGCATGGCTTTGTGCACGCTCCTGCATGCCGTCAGGTAGTGCTGTACTTTTTTTGTCTTACGGCACACAGCTGTTGAAGCTGTACCATCGCAGCCGTCGCTGGGTGAGCACAGTGGAGAAACAGCTGAAAATCTTCTTGACATTACTCCTGTAGTGATTCGTGAAACCACAATGCTTCCTCTACCATTATCCAAAGAGGACACCACGCCCTGACAACAGAACCCTGAGATACCCCCCACCCTCATCCCTCCGCCACTGCAAATTCCTGTAACGACCAGGGAGTGGAGATTGTTGCCAAGGGCTGGTCGCCACAGAAAACGTGGCTTCGACCTGGTATTGGTAACTTAGTGCTCTGCTAATACGTTTAAATGTAGAAAAACTGTATTAGCACCTGGACGCTGTTTAGTTGGCAGCGTAGTTTTGAGGCACACATCTTCCTTTTGAGGATTAGATGGGTACCTAAAATCTGCTTGGCTCCTGATTAGTCTGTTGAATGTGTAAATTATTCCTTTTTTTTCTATCTATCTTTTGCTTTCTAGTTCATTCTGCTTCCTGTAACGTCCTCAACTGTTGCTGAATCTTGATGCAAGTATGTCATCAAGATTTCTGTAATGATTCAGGATGAAGAGATTTTTTCATCTGTGTTTTTGCTAGGTCTTCCCAACACATTTGGAGGGTATGATGAAACTCCTCAAGTGACAGCATCCAGTTTAAAGGTAATATTTTTTTTGTCTTGTTCAAATTGTTGTTTTAAAGAACTGCATTGATACGTTGCATCTTTGTTTTTGTTTATCAGTGAAAGTACTTTAATCTGCAATTCAGCCATTCAACTCGTTTATAACAGTCTTCCTACTGTCCACAGACTTGGACCAACCGTTTATTTTTGTTTGTTTCTTTTTTTTTTTCCTTTCTTTTTTTCTTCTTCTTTCGGCTGCTCCCTTCTTCAGGGGTCGCCACAGCGAACTAACTCACACAAAGACTTGGCAATTATTTTTACACCGGATGTCCTTCCTGACGTAACCACAGAGAGCTGCCGTGTAGGGTGCCCGAGGGAGCAGATGGTGGGAGTTAAGGGCCTTGCTCATGAGCCCAGAGTGGGGCAAATGAGGGTCCAGGCAGATGTGGGTGTTTCACATATTCCACCCACAATTTTTGACATTATTGGTACTGGGAGTTGAACCAGTGATGATCAGTTGACAGCTCAGCTCCTCTCTTCATATAATTTCCCTCTGGGATTAATAAAGTATTTTTGATTTTGAATTGAAGTGAATTGAATTCACCCGAGTGTCCAAAACAAACTGCTGCAATTCAGATGACGCAACTACAAAGTCGATCATTGATCTACGACTTATCTTAAGTTATATTGCACATTAAAACAAGTTAATAACAACACAACATCAACCACCATTTTCCAAGTGCTGTAAATTCTGACTTATTGGCATTTTTTTTAGTTCTTGTCTAGTTTGATTTTGGTAAATACATCACCAACTATCCATGATCAAAGTGCAGACAATAAAGTGTAGGTACTTTTTATCTGACTGTTGACTTGATGCTACTCAGAAGTTGGATGGATTTGGCAAAGTGGACACTGGAGACTCAACAATTTCAAGTTTCATTTGTAGTTTTTCAGTGCAGAAGATCTTACACTAACTTTAGCTTCAATCCTTTCCGCCACAACGTCCTTCCCAAATTTACTTTATTCTGTCCCCTCTCATCCTTTTAGTTTCTGTTTCTTCTTTCAGAAGAAGATAAAAGCTTTCGACTTGTGTCTGTGATTCCATCGTTCTCTCTCGCACTCTGTTTACATCCAGGGATTATTTGACCGATTCAACATCTGTTAAGCCCATACGAAGTGTCCTTGTTAATGTTCAAATGTAAACAAAGACTTGTGATTGACGGCAACGAAACCTGACTGTAGATTTAGCTAATTAATTTCAAACAAAACACAAGACTTTGTGTAGTGGATGATTGGATGAAGCATATTTATTGATCATTTTATGTCATGGATAATACACTCATTCAACCTTTATTTATACAGGTTAGTCCCATTGAGCCTCGGTGACTCATTTACAAGAGAGACCTGATTTTAACAAAGAATGGAGCCAACAGTGCACAACAAAGACAACAATAGACAATCATAAAGGATGCGTACAAATTTATTATTATTAATAATTTTTTACACACATGCCATGTACATACAGACCTTTTCCAGAAAATAAGAATATCATGTAAAAGTTGTTAAACTCCATAATTCCATTCAAAAAGTTAATTTTTAATAGATGATAGATTCAGGGCCCACAATTTAAACAATTTCAAGTATTTATTTGTTTATTTTTACATAATTTGGGCTTCCAGCTCATGAAACCCACAAAAACAGGATTTCAAAAAATTAGGGTCTGTATATCCATCCATCCATCCATTTTCTTCTGCTTATCCGGGGTCGGGTCGCAGGGGTAGCAGCTTTAAGTAGGGGGGTCCAGACTTCCCTCTCCCCAGCCACTTGGGCCAGCTCCACCAGGGGAATCCCAAGGCGTTCCCAGGCCAGCCGAGAAACATGGTCCCTCCAGCATGTCCTGGGTCTTCCTCTGGGTCTCCTCCCGGTGGGACGTGTGTGGAACACCTCACCAGGGAGGCGTCCTAACCAGATGCCCGAGCCACCTCAACTGTCTCCTCTTGATGTGGAGAAGCAGCGGCTCTACTCTGAGTCCCTCCCGGATGATAGAACTTCTCATCCTATCTCTACGGGAGAGCCCAGACACCCTGCGGAGAAAACTCATTTTAGTCGCTTGTATCCGTGATCTCGTTCTTTCAGTCACAACCCAAAGCTCATCACCATAGATGAGGGTAGGAGCATAGATCGACTGGTAAATTGAGAGCTTTGCCTTTTGACTCCGCTCTCTCTTCACCACGACAGACCAGTACAGCGCCCGCTTCACTGCTGACGCTGCACCTATCCGCCTATCGATCTCACGCTCCATTTTTCCCTCATTCGTGAACAAGACCCCGAGATACTTGAACTCCTCCACTTGGGGCAGGACCTCCTCCCCGACCCGGAGAGGGCACTCTACCCTTTTCCGGCTCATACAGGGTCTGTATACAAAGGATTCAAATCAAAAGCATTGAAAAGTGGCACTTATCCACAGCTTCTATGCCTTTAATAATCTTTGCTTAGGTATCCAGACTCGAGTGCATCAAAATACAAGCAACCACTTTTAAAACTTGTTCAAAACAACCATTTGATTCCTCTTCTCATGCTATAAATGTAGACAAATGCTTAGTTGTCAACAAAAACTGCTTAAGTTCTTAAAATGCTGATTGAAGCCTTGAACATAAAAAATGTGATATTGTTTTGTATCAGCGTGTTTGTGGTGTCAGTAAAATGCTTTTTTTATGCTGAACTTAAAAACATATGCCTCAGGTCTGTCATATAAAGTAGAATCTGTTTGACTCGTTGAGCCAGCCCTGGCTGCTTCACTGCTGCTCTCCTCTCAGATAACCATTCTTTATATGTTGCAGGAGTTTGTTATGGATGGACTAGTAAACATTGTGGGAGGATGTTGTGGTACCACTCCATCACACATCAGGTCAGTGTAATGTCTCTTAAGTGCTGAGTGTTTGGACAAGTGGCCTCCAATCTTGGTCCTGAAGGGTCACTATTCTGCATGTTTTACTTGTTTCCCGGCTCCACCACACCTGATTCAATCACCCATGGATCCAGAGCAGGTGTATTGGAGCAGAGAAACATATCAAACATGCAGGACAGTGACCCTCCAGGACCAGGGTTGGACACTCCTTGTTTAGATGTTTCTAAAATTTGACTTTATTTTCTTCTCAAAGAGCCATATCTGAAGCAGTCAAACACTGCCAGCCAAGAGTTCCCCCTGCTGCTATTTATCAAGATCACTTGCTGCTCTCAGGTATTCTCATTCACTGTCATCGTTTATCTGAAGGATCTCTAACATGGTTGTCTGCCAAACTGTTTTTTAAATTAATTTCAGAAGATCAGGTCTACAGAAACATGAGAACAGTCAGATGAGCGCAGCCGCTAATAAAAAGTTTTAATAATTTACACTGAGTCTGATATTATTCTTGCACCAGTTTCAACTTGAGGTATCAGCTGGGATGCAGATATTTGTTGCAGTTAATGGGAGAGGGTGTTTTTTATTTATTTATCTGGATTTAAAAGCAGCAGGTGTCCTCAGCATTTGAACCGGAATGATTTTATTATCCTTGCACAGTGAAGTACAACAAAATTACTTTTTGTACGGCTGTCCTAAAGATGGACAGAAATGTACAGGGGGCTGCAGCTTCTAAGATGCGCTGCCCCTGTTGCTTATATAAGAAAAGGGGAAGAAAACATAAGGAGAGAGGTATTAAAAAAAGATCTCTCACACCGTGTCCTTGACAGGGCATGGTTTGAGGCATCAAAAAAATCTACCACAGCAAGGCAACATAAATAGACATAATGCATATGCGTGTGGAGTGGGTAGGGGGTGGAGGTCCCAGCACAGCCGCCATGTGAGCGACACAGCCCTTTGGTGCCTTTGCATCTCCTAGGCTGCTGCACCAGTGGAGGCATTGAGTTTGAAGGTTGTAGCACAGCACAGTCCAGAGCCCCCCCCCCCCCACACACACAGCCATAGTCCTGATAAGAGGTATTTGTTTATCAGCCAGCTTGGTTGAGCTCTGTCGCAGGATTACGACCTAGGGGAATGGAGGGGGTGGGGAGAGGGACAGAGCGCCTTTGTTTCCACTACACCCAAGGAGAAATTTGAGATAGTCCACCTTCCAAGGCCAGATCCAGATTCAGATATCAACATTGTTTTGTGTCTGGCTGAACTCCTAAATTTCCGTGTCTGCCTTAACAGTACATTCACTCACGGCGACTCTAAACATCCGAATTTGATTATTTATGCCAAGTCGAGCTTACAACTCCTCCAAGATTTATTCCTTCCAACCATTCGTGGACATTGCCAGGAAAGTTCCGATACAGCACCACATAGTTCACACACAGTCTTGAGTGTTGCCAAGCTCGGCACATTCTCCACATTCCAGGCAGCTTTAAACAGCTGCTGATGTTTATTTGTCCAGATTTGTTGACAATCCAGCTTTCCACAAACTCCAAACAGTAAAATCCAGTTATTGTAGATTCAATTATGTTTCCTTCGAGGTAACAGGGTCCTCTTTACCCTGACTACCTGTTGAGAAAATTTGATCAATTCCATTGAGAGACCAGCTGTTCAAATCCATCGTTAACAATTCAGAAGGTATGCAAAAAAAGGGGCTCTGAAAAAGGTTCACAAAACAAATAGCAAAGCAGGGACAGGCGAGGGACGGAGCAGAGGAGGACATGTCTGCCTTCCACCGAGAGCAAGCAGGAAAAAAAAAACAATTAAAAAAATACCTTATTTGGGCAGCACAATGGCTTAGTGGTTAGGACTGTTGCCTCACACTGCCAGGTCCAAACCAGGGTTCAATTCCCGGGTTGGACCTCTTGTCTTTCTGTGTGAACTTTTCATGGTCTCCTTGTATTTGTGTGGGTTTTCTCCAGGTTCTGTTTCCTCCCACAGTCCAAAAACATGCACGTTAGGCTGCCTTCAGGCCCAGGCCTCCCTGTGATTTCTGTGGGATTTGTCTGGTTAAATCAATCAGAATATAAATAAAGAAATAAAGGTTAAATAAAAAAGTAAAAAAAAAAAAAGATAAATAAAGGAACAAATAAAGTCTTTCACAAAGGCTTCCATCACTGTGTCCGACTGATTGAAGAGCCAAAGTAGTGGAGGAGAAGCGGTCTAAAAAATGGTCCACCCAGCAGTTAATGTCCGTTTCCACAAGCGGTATGTTGATGTTTCCTGACGATGAGGGATCCGAAGAGTGAATTAGGGATGGTGCCGATCCGATCCAGTATTGGTATCGGCATCTGATACCAGCATAATTTACGTATCGGATTTTTCCGATCCACGTGCCGATATTTCCGATCCATGATGCATGTCTGTGGTTGCCCTGCACGTTGGCTTCAAACTATGGAATGGATTTCCTGAACGGAGGCTTGTCTCATGAACCCAGAGTAATAAGACCCGCCTCACATTCAGCAAATCCATTTCATTGTTTGCAGCCAGCTACAACGTGAGGGCTGAGTTAGCAGCACTGTGGCTAACGGTTAACCAACTTTTCATCGAAACATGTCCGCTGTGTGGAAGTATTGTACGCTAGAAACACAACAAAACAAGACGGCAACGTGCAATGTCTGCAGAGCCATAGCGCCACATTAAATCGCGGTAAAGTTAGTTTTACGTTGGACATTTGAGCTCTGTGGCTTCAGCGGGGCGCTACTCTCGCTGAATCCGAAAGAGGCGACTCGACCCTGCCCAACCGCGTCCATTCTGCCGCGCTCAGTCTGCCCGTCTCTGAGGAGGGACAGACTGAGCGCGGCTGCCCCAAATCAGGCTGCCTGCTTCGGATTGAACAAGATGAAGACGTCGCTGAAACCACGGAGCTCTAATGTTTACAGAGTAGTTGCCAAACTTCATAATTAATGACCAACTCCTATCAGTTGTAGAAAATGAAGGATTTCACAGTTTGATATTTGCATCCAAGATATAGTTTACCCTCCAGGAGATATTTATCAGTACAACAGTAGACAATCATAAAAAAACATGATTTGAAAATTATATATATTAAAAACATAAACAGCTACATTATAAAGTGATGTAAAATACTAAAAACAGGAACATGTCTGTTGGTTTATGCCATGAACTTAGCAGATGTTTGAAGCCATCCATCCATCCATCCATTTTCTTTACCCGTTTATTCCATTTTGGGTCATGGGGGTCGCTGGTGCCCATGTCCAGCAATCACTGTGCGAGGGGCAGGGTACACCCTGGACGGGTCGCAAGTCCATCACAGGGCCACATAGAGACAAACGAGACAAACAACCATTCACTCTCTCACTCACACCTAGGGACAATTTAGAGTTACCAATCAGCCTAACATGCATGTTTTTGGACTGTGGGAGGAAACCGGAGTACCCGGAGAAAACCCACGCATGCACGGAGAGAACATGCAAACTCCACCCAGAAAGGCCCCTGGACCGGGGTTTGAACCAGGGACCTGCTCGCTGAGAGGCAGCAGCTCTACCAGTTGTGCCACCGTGCTGCCCGTGTTTGAAGCCATTTAACATTTTATTTAATTCATTTATTCATTCATTTAAAAGAAACAAAATTTAAAAAATCATCAAAAACTTTTTGTTTTTGATGATTTGATGAAAAGAGTGCAGAAAGAAGAAAAAAAAATCTTATCTGCCCCTTATTTAAAAAATATATAAAATAACTTTAAACAATCACCTAAATTAATCACTTTAATATCCACTTTAAAACTAGGAATAAAAATAAACGTGTTTTGTGTTGGAATTTAATTCTAACTTTAAAACTTATCCAACATTAATAAAACTCACCTCAAGTTGCCTTTTTGGACATGCATGCAAATATTTGTACAAATTGTACTTGAGGAGATTATTACAGCCTCATATAAAATCAATGATGATCATGATATCGGAACTGGATCGGTATCGGCCGATACTCAGACTTATGTATCGAGATCGGATCGGAAGTAAAAAAAGTGGATCGATGCATCCCTAGAGTGAATGTTCATAGTTTATGAGATGAGTGATTTTTCTGCACTGAAATATAACAGAGAATGGAAGTAAACCTTAATGTTTTTGGTGTAAGAAATTCAAGTGGGTAGGAGTTAGAATGTGGAAAAGAAGAAAGGTAGGTCTTTTGTTTGGTTGACCGAGACAGCACAGAGTTAGAGAGAGAGGTGACTTTGGACACTACAGAGTAATCTTTGGCCACCTCAATCATTTAGGGAAGGACTTTTAAGCAGGTTTTTTTCTTCTTCTTTCAGCTGCTCCCTTCTTCAGGGGTCGCCACAGCGAACTGTCGCACTAAGACTTACCAATTATTTTAAACACCGGATGTCCTTCCTGACACAACCACAGACCACCGAGCTACCACAGCCCTCTGTGTGGAGCAGAGAGCTGCTATCTAGGGTGCCCGAGGGAGCAGATGGTGGGGGTTAAGGGCCTTGCTCAAGGGCCCAGAGTGGAGCAAATGAAGGTGGAGGCAGGTGTGGGTACTTCACCTTTCCCACCCACATTTTGATGTTGTCTGTACCGGGAGTTGAACCAGCGAGCTTCTGATCACAGGCCTACCTTCTCTAACCTCTGTGCCACCACTCCCAGTGTAGGAAAGGACTTAAGCAGTATAAAAACTAAAATGCATAATATCCTCAAATGATTGAGGTGGTCGGTTTACTTACTTACGCACACGCACACACACACGTGTGTGTATATACTGGTGTGTATATACAGAGGGTATTTCCATGTCTCCACTTTGCTATAGGAGACAATAATCAAATTATTTATAGTAAAATCCTGCAGCAGTGAGAAAACCAGTTAAGAAAAAGATCCATCATCTCAGTCAGGAGCACATAACTTCACAAGTGCCACTTGTGAAGTTATGTGAGAACAATTACAGAGACATTTGTAAATAAATACTTGAATCAGTTTTGAAGAAACAAAGTGTTTGTCTTTTTAAACAACATTTTTTGCTCTGTAGAGGGAAAATGAGTTTTTCCTGTTTCTGTAACGTGCAGTGTGAATTAATTATTTGTTTCAACTTGTAGGTTTGGAGCCATTCAGAATTGGCCCGTTCACTAACTTTGTAAACATCGGCGAGCGCTGCAATGTGGCCGGGTCCCGCAGGTTTGCCAAACTGATCACGGCTGGGCAATATGAGGTGGTCATGATTATTAATAAAATCACAAAAACAGATTTATTAGGCTGATGTTATAAAACATGTTTGTGGGGCTGTGTTTTTGTGTTACTTCCTCAGGAGGCTCTGAGCATCGCCAAGACCCAGGTGGAGATGGGAGCTCAGATCTTGGACATCAACATGGATGAGGGCATGCTGGATGGACCAACAGCTATGGCCAGATTTTGTAACTTCATTGCCTCTGAGCCAGATATTGCACGGGTAGGACAAACAAAAATTTTAAAAACTTGTAAAACACGTTTATCCCTTGTTTCTGCACATGTACTCTTAGTCTAAGTTTTTCTTACTGTTTTCTTTGTCGTCTATTTAAAAATAGTATGTAGTAAGAGTTATTTTATGTATTGCATTTATGTTTTTTCCCATGTCTATACATTTGTGTGTTAGTAAAATATCTCATGCCACATGGATGGACATCTACCACTGATTAATGTTTGGAGTCGATCTGATTAAAGATGTTTGCCACATCTAATCAACAACGGTAGCTCAGTGATAGCTCAGGCCAAGCATTCAACTCTTCATAAGATGATCACTTTGCAGTCAAAAGTGGCTCAACTCTAGTTTGAAATATATTGCTTTCCCTTTTTTCTACTCTCACGTGGTCACAAATGAGATATTTAAGGTTATTACTCAAATAAGTATTGGAGGCTTTTCAGAGCACCCTTAGTATGAACGGTCGTGTCACAGACACTTCTGTATGAAGATATATCAGTCTCAAAAGTAGCATTCAATGAGGTGTGTATGCATTCAACAGAATGTATTTTAATCGTATGCGTACAATAAGATCAACAAGGGTACTTGTTGGAGAAAATCTCAGTCACTAACGTTAGGCCTGTCACAATAAACAATAAATCAATTAATCGCTTGATAAATGAAAAATTTCAACCTGATTTTCATTTATCAGCTTTATCGTTTCTTCACGTTTCTCTGTTCCTACTGAAGACACTATATGACAAAAAGCTCAACTCTGGTGTTCTTCACTGAACCCTCCCTTTCTCTTTTCTCTTAAAAATCGTTTTAACCGTTGAGAAGCTAAGCTACGAGCTAAGCTAACAGGCCGACCTCAGGGAAAAAAAATCTCCATCTTGTTGAAGCTCTAAAATTCACAGTTGAAACCCGTGCCTTCGTCTAAAAAAATTGTTTTTCTCTGCAAAAAGATGCTGAGAACTTGTTTACTGATTTTTATTAAAAGATTTGTTTGACAAATGCTATGCTAAAGAGTTCAAACCACACAGAGCGTCCGCCATTTTGAGAACCGAAAAACAGGAACAAGAGACAGCCCATGTCATGTCAAGGGGCCTCCCTCCCCTTTTTCTTAGAGACATGCTGCTCTCTCTCTCTCACTATCCATCCTTTGCTTCAAACAGTCTAATACTGCCATCCAGTGGTCAAAAATACTACACACAAAAATTAACCAAAATTTCATCTTAAATTTGACAATTACTAATTATTGTCAAATTTCAAACAATATTATCGTTTATCGCAATAATTTCTGAGACAATTAATCACCTAGCAAAATTTGTTATCGTGACAGGCCTAGCTTTTTTTCTTTCTTTTTTTTTCCCCTTGTCCTGTCCGGCATTGTGACACTCAGAATTATTGTCTGATTGTCAAGGTGATGCCCAACAGATTTACTTTCACAAGCAGAGCATTATGGCTGGCATTAATGCTCCACTTGATATATGAATAAAACTTTATTAGAATTTGCTTTGGGTTTGTTTCAGATGTAATGGACATGGGAATGAAAAACAAAGAAGAAAACAATGCAGAAAAGTGGGAGATGGGTTAAAATGTAAAGAAGGAGATAAGAGTACAGGAGAGAGAGAGGGATAAAGAGAACACAACACAAATCAACAAAATCTGCCTCTAGACCTGCGGAAAGAAAAAAAAAGACAAAACTGAGAAACCACAACAACAAGCAACATATATAATGATACTTATAACATCATTAGAAAGTATTTTATACAGTACATGGTAATACAAGATATATTTAAAAAAATTGGGTGGAAAAGGTGGAACACCCACACCTCCCTCCACCCTCATTCGTCCCACTCTGGACCCCTGAGCAAGCCCCTTAACCCCCACCATCTACTCCCTAAACAGGTCTCTCTTGAAAATGAGTTCTCATGGCTCAATGAGACTACCTGTATAAATAAAGGGTAAATGGGGGGGAAAAAAAAAAAAAAGAAATTTAGTGGCCACCACAACCCAACTGAGTGTGTATCTGATAAACACCTGAATCTAAACACCTGTGTGAGCATGCTTGTCACTATAAGGTTTCTCCATAAAAATGTTCAATAGTGGATGTGGGGACCCACAGACCCGTCCCCACAGGACACGATGGTAACACAGGGAAGACCGGAGCCACAGACACACAGCGGTCCCAAAGCCCGGAGCTCCACTCCCAGATAAACGATCGTCTGGGCCGGGAGAATCAAGCTTTTTCCCCAATTTATGGCGAAGCCCAGATTTAACAGGTGTGACGTCAGCACCTGGGTCTGCGCCGCTGCTTCCTGTCTGGAGCGAGTCAGCAGCAACAGGTCGTCTAGGTAAAACAAAATTCTCATCCCTGCTCTGTGTAACGGTTGCAGAGCCGTCTCCACACACTTTGAGAATGTACGAGGCGCGAGGGAATAACCCAACGGCAGCCTATTGTACTGATACTGAATCCCTTGAAAGGAGATGCGCAGGAACTTTCTGTGCTTTGGGATGATTGGGATGTGGAAGTAGGCATCTTTCATATCGATGGAGATAAACCAATTGTTTCTCTGAATGTTGTCCAACAGTTCTCTGGTTGTCAACATGTGAAACGATCCATGATCGCCTTGTTGAAAATTGACAGGTCCAAAATGGGTCTCATTCCTTCGATCCGTTTTGGAACCATGAAGTAACGTGAGTAAAACCCTGTGTTTTCCTCTCTGTCGGGAACCCTGGAAATTACATCTTTTACCAGAAGTTCCTGGACTTCTGCGTTTAGGGATGAGACCTGGTCTGGGGATGACAGAACCGTCTCTAAAACTCCTCCGAACGGTTGAGCTGCAAATTGTAGCGTATAACCCTTGTTGATCAGACGGCTCATCCATCTGTCTAGAGAGCATGTCTCTGCCACTCCGCGTAACGTTCGAGGAGTGGGCGCGCGTTTATGTGATGCGTCATGTTTCTTACGGACGTCAGCCAGTTTACAGCCTCCACCACCGTCATGTGTCGCGTAAGTGTGCTCCACGTGACCCAAGGCGAGGCTTTCTCGAAAGGGCTCTGAGCGCGCTTCTGTGCCACGCTCAGGCTGCGGGCTCACATTCATGTCGATGTGAACTGGCGTGTGCTGAGGAGAGGTGTGCGCGCCTTCATAAACATGGCGCCGTTTGGGTGAAAACTGCCGGCGCCACGGGAGCGCGCGTTTGACACGGGAGCGCGCGTTTGACACCGCTGCGGTGAGAAGCGTGCAGCTCAGGCTGAGAGCGAGGTTTCCCACTGGACTCGTTCTACGGAACACATTCACTTTCGGCTGCTGTGTCATGCGAGCATCTCGTGTGTTTCTTTGATCTGCGGTGATTTCAAAAAACCCGTTTTAAGGACACCGGCTCGTTTTGTGGGGAGGATGTGTGAAGAGAAGCCACTGTGAGGTCATTCGAACTGACAGACAAACTAAAATCAGTCCTGAGCCTGATTCTGCTGGAGGTTTCTTCCTTTTAAAAGGGAGTTTTTCCTTTCCACTGTTTCCTTTGTGCTTGCTCAGGATGAAAGACTGCGACAAAGTGAAGATTCACTGTATCTGCTGCTTCCTTAGATAGAAAACTTTTCTATGTATGTGAATGTTCCTGTAAAGTGCTCTGAGTCAACTTTGTTGTGATTTGGCGCTATATAAATAAACTGAATTGAATTATTCTTGCATAGTGAAGTACAATGAAATTACTTTCCGTACAGCCGTCCTAAAGATGGACAGAAGTAAATGGTATATGGACTGTACTTGTATAGCGCCTTTCTATCTGATCAAGATACTCAAAGCGCTTTACACTACAATCTATGTCCTCATTTACCCATTCACACAGCACTCTACTAGATCTCTACAAAGCTAATTGAACAAATCATTCTAAAGAGACTAATCAGAGCTTTATCACATTCAAACAATGATGGGAAACACATCAGAGGCAATGAGGGGTTCAGTGTCTTGCCCAGGGCCACTTCGGCATGTGACTGCTGGTGGATTCGAACCCCCAACTCTTGCATTGGAAGATGACTGCTCTAACCACTCAGCCACAGCCGCCCAAGTGTACAGTGGGCTGCAGCTTCAAAGATGTGCTGCCCCTGGATGATCTACTATTCGTCGTTGGTGTGTGATTAACCCGGTAAAGCTTGAATATGGCATCTGAATTAAAGAAATATAAACATGCGAGTTCTGCAGCCACAGGGCCTAGCGCCTCCTTGGGCTGGGATACTTACAATGCCTGGAGACTCGGCTACGTCCCCACCCGATTCCAGAGAGACAGATCTGTCGGCCCTAAAGACGGACATTCTGGCCTATTTTAAAACAGAAATCTCTGCAGTGATTAGGTTGGAGATGAAGGCTGTCCTCACATCTCGCCTTTATTAAGGGTGAGTGTCAAGCTGTGAGAGCAAAGCTGGCTAACCACGCCACGGCATTTAGAACGGAAATAGACCAGATGAAACTAAGTGTTACAGATATAGAAATTGGACTGTCCACCTGGACGGACAAAGTTGAGACTCTGAGCAACACCGTGACAACTCTGAAGGATGAGATAAATGGGCTGAAAAAATAGTGCAAAGTCGTGCAAGGACGCATGAGAAGGTGCAATGTTAAGATCCTTGGCATCATCGAGAGGCCCGAGTCCAGCTCCACAATGTCTGTTACCAACTTACTTTTTGAAGTTCTGCAGCTGGACCAGAAGCCACTGATCGATCGCTCGTACCGGACGTCATGCAGGAGGAAGCCTGTTGATAAGCCAAGAGCTACTGGCCTGAACACGTGTCTTAATTGTCTGGATCAAGAGACTGGAACGCACAATTATCTTTGTGAATCAGGAGTGGCAAAGAAGTCTTAAAAGTCACTATCACATGCAAACTAATCTGCGCACTCCTGATGACTAATTCGTCCACAGAAGGTGACTTGTGACATGTATTTGACCATTTGTATGCACAGAACATTCCTACCTTTGCAAACTGAAATGTAGAAATTTGAAAAACTGTTTATGCATTTGTGAATCTTTTAGTACCTTTGCTGATCTTATTGTAGTATGACACTGTTGATGGATCTAATCAGTTCAAGGAATGGGAGGTTTGTGGTGAAAATTCTTTTCAAGCTGAATTTCATTGAGAGAGTTTTGAGGGTTTGGTTTGATTTCACTAGTATGCAGTCACATGTTGAAGATTCCCTAAGAAAGACCCTGATCCCCCTCATAGCTTCTGATGTGTGTCCCATTAGTGTCTAAATGTGATTTAAAGCACTAACTAGTCTCTGCTAAAAAATTTGTTCAGATTATCTTTGTAGAGATGTAGTATAGTGCCGCATGGATGCTTGTGTGAATGTGTGCGTTAATGAATAGCAGTGTGAAGTCTTGGAAGGACGCATGAGACAAACTCAATAAAGACATCATTAGAGGATAAAATCAGAGGAAGAACTGCTGGGACCAACTTCCTCTTTTTTCAAACAGGAAGTTGGTCCCAATAGTTCTTCCTCTGATTTTATCCTCAAATGGTGTCCCTATTGAGTTTGCCGATTCCTACAAATATTTGGGTATCTTGGTCGACTCGCATCTCTCTTTTAAGCTTCACATGGAAAACCTAGTAAGGAAACTGAAAGTTAAACTGGGTTTCTTTTTCAGTAATAGATCCTGTCTAACCCTGAATGCTAGGAAACACCTTGTATCTGTGACTTTCCTTCCCTCCACTGATTACGGTGACATTATTTACATGAACACTCCTACAAGCACCCTGCAGATGTTGAACGCTGTCTATCATGGTGCTCTAAGATTCATAACTGGCTGTGATTATCGTACCCATCACTGCACCCTGTATTCACTGGTTGGTCATCATTAACTTCACACAGACTATTTCACTGGTACATTTTCATCTTTAAATCACTTCTTGGTCTGCTGCCTTCATACATCTCCTCCTACATGTGTGAGTGCAGCTACAGCGTGCGCTCCCAGAACATTATTACCTGCAGTGTTCCCTCAGTGCGCACTGAAGTAGGCAAAAGGGCCTTCTCCTACTCCGCTCCTGTTTCCTGGAATATCTTGCAAAAAGATGTTAAGCTCTCGACCTTGACCTCTCCAAGTGGCTTTAAACATCTGTTAAGTTCCTGGCAAAAACCAATGCAGACATGTTCCTGTTTTTAGTTTTCCTCACCACCTTATAATCTAGCTGTTTTTTTTTCTTTCTACATTTTCCTTTCCATTATCCTATACCATTTTATTTTCATTTGTTAAAAAAACCATTAAATTTGTACGTATCCTTTATGATTTATATTGTTGTCGTTGTTGTCCACTTTTGTCATCACTTTGTTAAAATTCAGGTCTCTCTTGTAAATGAGTCCCCAAGGCTCAATAGGGCTAATCTGTATAAATAAAGGGTGAATGAATGAATGTGTAATTGTGGGCACAGCTTGTGCTGTAAATCACTATTGAGTATCCTGGTTAGACAGAAAGGTTTTGTACTGTCCAGTCCTTTTAGCATGTCTTGTGTATGTGGGTCTTTCCAAGGTTGTACGCTGTTTACACTAGAGTCTGATGGTGATCACATTTTAAATTATAGTGTGAACACACACACAAACACAAACCTGATCTCAGTAAAAAAAAAAAAAAAAAAAAATCAGATTTGAGTGTTAGGACCTGTAGTGTAACTGTTGCCTTTTTCTGACATGAAATGTGGCCGTTGATGTGCGTTTAGTTAAAGCAAGTTCAAAAACAGACATAAAGTACCCTGCTCAGTATTCTTTCACACCCTGGTTGTCCTTAAGCTGTGGCCTCTCCCCCTCAGGTTCCTCTGTGTATCGACTCCTCCAACTTCTCTGTGATTGAGGCGGGGCTGAAATGTTGTCAGGGTAAGTGCATCGTTAACAGCATCAGCCTGAAGGAAGGAGAGCAGGAGTTTCTGCTCAGAGCAGCCACAGTGAAGCGCTACGGGGCTGCTGTGGTGGTCATGGCCTTTGATGAGGAGGGACAGGTGATGAGATGGTCCTGTACATTCTCAAACACAAATACACAATTACCGATGATGCTTCACTCTCCAGGCCACAGAGACAGACCGCAAGGTGGAAATCTGCTCTCGAGCCTACGAACTGCTGGTTAACAAGGTGGGCTTTGATCCCAATGACATCATTTTTGATCCGAACATCCTGACTATCGGTACAGGCATGGAGGAGCACAACTGCTATGCTGTGAACTTCATCAGGGCTACCAGGCTTATCAAGGTATCTGTCACAGACTCCTAATAGAAAATGACAATGCAAATTTCCTTTTAAATGTAGTTGTATATTTGCCCAAGTTACTAAATATGTTTGCCATCACTCAAACATATCCATTATATTCATTCATTACACACAGACTGATATATTTCAAATGTTTATTTCTTTTAATGTTGATGATTATAACTGACAACTAATGAAAACCCCAAATTCAGTATCTTAGAAAATTAGAATATTATGAAAAGGTTCAATATTGAAGGCACCTGGTGCCACACTCTAATCAGCTAATTAACTCAAAACACCTGCAAAGGTGTTCTACCTGGATTAATGAGCATGCATCAGGATACCTGCTAAGCTCTTTAAATTGTCTCTCAGTCTAGTTCTGTAGGTTACACAATAACGGGGAAGACTGCTGACTTGACAGTTGTCCAAAAGACGACCACTGACACCTTGCACAAGGAGGGCAAGACACAAAAGGTCATTGCTAAAGAGGCTGGCTGTTCACTGAGCTCTGTGTCAAGCACATTAATAGAGAGGTGAAGGGAAGGAAATTATGTGGTAGAAAAAAGTGTATAAGCAATAGGGATAACCACACCCTGGAGATGATTGTGAAACAAAACATCTGAGCAGTGCCACAGACTGATCGACTCAATGCCACATTATTGCTGCAGTAATCCAGGCAAAAGGAGCCCCAACTAAGTATTGAGTGCTGTACATGCTCATACTTTTCATGTTAATACTTTTCAGTTGGCCAACATTTCTAAAAATCCTTTTATTTTATTGGTCTTTAAGTAATATTCTAATTTTCTGAGATACTGAATTTGGGGTTTTCAGGGGTTTTCATTAGTTGTCAGTTATAATCATCAACATTAAAAGAAATAAACATTTGAAATATATCAGTCTTTGTGTAATGAATTAATATAATATACAATTTTCACTTTTTGAATGGAATTACTGAAATAAATCAACTTTCATGATATTCTAATTTTATGACCAGCACTTGTAAATATGTATATGTATGTATGTATAAGTATGTATGTAGTAAACTATGCTTTCTGGTATTCTATATTGCTTAAAAGTATAGTTTCCTCAAATGACTGGGGTGGCTGAAGTTCAATCTCTGGTGGGCAAGTTCACCATTGCACCCCCCTCCCCATCGTTACACCTTGCAGATAATAAAGTTTCTCTTTCACTCTCGATCCCACAGACAAGAACAAAAAAAAGTACCTCTGTTCTTCTACACACAGCAACTCCTACCAGTTTGTCTTACATGATATACATTAAGGTTTACGTGCATTCACTTTTCAATTCCAGTCCCTAAAACACTCGTCTCGTAAACTACAAACATTAACTATTTAAATCCCTCAGCAACGCCCATCTGCTTACTTCTTGTTAATGTTGCTCTCTGTTTATTCTGGCTAAGTATTTCCACCAGTGATTCAGATGCAGAGTAGATCATTTTTGTGCTCTCGTGTTTGTATTGTAGGAAACTTTACCTGGAGCCAGGGTGAGTGGAGGTCTGTCCAACTTGTCTTTCTCCTTCAGAGGTATGGAAACCATCAGAGAAGCTATGCATGGAGCATTTCTGTATCACGCCATCAAGGTAAACACGATCACTTGGCCTTGTGTTCAAATGCACATAATGTTCCGTCTTGTGTTGTCTGGCTCTTCTTCACCTTCTTGCCTTCTTTTCATTCATAACTCTGCAGTGTGTTGTAGCATTGTAGTGGTACTAGGCTTTTAATTGTTAATAACATTTATTAACGCAAAAGTCAGTTTCAACCCTGTTTAATTACAATACAATTATACATATATGTAATACATGTAATAATACTTGTGGTTGCTACAGATGCTTTTTTAGTTGTCATAAAAGAAAAAATTGTCAGAAAATCATGCAAGTAGTCAGTTTGTCTATTAAGACATGTCCTTTATGACAACATAAATTATGAACGTGTGCAAAATTTATTCTTGACTTGTATGAGAACATCTGGATTTTGTTGCAAGTCTGTGATTACTAATGTCTGTAAAAATGGATACAAATGCAGCCTATTGCCAGTACGGTTGGTTAGTTGATAAATGCTGTTGCAAATGTGTACATATACAAATGACTTTCAAGTGTGTGTGCAGCAGGTTAAAAATGATTCACTCCCCTTGGCATTCTCTGTTTTGTTGTCTTCCAATCTTGAATTAAAAAGGAATTTTAGAGGGTTTAAGATATTTAAATAATTACATTCAGGCAGATGCTGTAGTAAATGGTAAATGGACTGTATTTATACGGCTCTTTTCTGTCTTATCAAGATACTCAAAGCTCTTTACAACACAATCTGTGCCCTCATTTACCCATTCATACAGCACTCTACTAGATATTTACAAAGATAATTGAAGAAATAATTCTAGGGCGGCTTATGGGGCAGCTGTGGTTGAGTGGTTAGAGCAGTCAACCTCCAATGCAAGAGTTGGGGGTTCGATTCCACCAGCAGTCACATGCTGAAGTGTCCCTGGGCAAGACACTGAACCCCTCATTGCCTCCGATGTGTGTCCCATTAGTGTAGAATGTGATAAAGCACTGATTATTCTTTGTACAAGTATAGTAGAGTGCTGTATGAATGGATAAATGAGGCACAAATTGTGTTGTAAAGAGCTTTGAGTGTCTTGATGAGATAGAAAAGTGCTATAAAAGTGCAGTCCATTTACCATTCTATAGAGACTGCCGATAATCAGTACTTTTAGATCACATTCATACACCGATGGGACACACATCAGAGACAATTGCTATGTTTACATGCACAAAATTCTTTGACCGGATTGAAATTTTTTCAGATTAAATAATCCAAATGTATCTTTTACATGGGCACAATCTGTTCACGACGAGCATAAACATGCAGCGGGCTTTGTTCTGAACAGAAGTACTGACATGAACAGAGTGGTAAACTCTCCTTAAAAAATCACAGAAGAAGAAGTTCTACATCCGGTTTACTTCCGGGATGAATGTAAACAAACCTGAGCGCCCAAAATGGACCTGCAACAGGTTTTAATGATGGTGTAGACGTTGCTGCACTCCCTGACAGAGCTGCAGGGAATACAGATCATTTTGAGCTCTTTGAAAGTTTTTAGTTGCAATGTGTCGCTCACCGACCAGTTTTGCTTCCCTGACATGCTAATATTATTAGCATTAGCCAGGCAGAAATGACATACAGTGAGGTAAATAAGTACAAACTGGATTCCAAAAAAGTTGGGACACTAAACAAATTGTGAATAAAAACTGAATGCAATGATGTGGAGGTGCCAACATCTAATATTTTATTCAGAATAGAACACAAATCACAGATCAAAAGTTTAATATGAGAGAATGTATCATTTTAAGGGAAAAATCAGTTGTTTCCAAATTTCATGGCATCAACAAATCCCAATAAAGTTGGGACAAGTCCATTTTTACCACTGTGTGGCATCCCCCCTTCTTCTTACAACACTCAACAGACATCTGGGGCAGAGGAGACCAGTTTCTCAAGTTTAGAAATAGGAATGCTCTCCCATTCATGTCTAATACAGGCCTCTTAACTGTTCAATCGTCTTGGGCCTTCTTTGTCGCACCTTCCTCTTTATGATGCGCCAAATGTTCTCTATAGGTGAAAGATCTGGACTGCAGGCTGGCCATTTCAGTACCCGGATCCTTCTCCTATGTAGCCATGATGTTTTGATTGCTGCAGAATGTGGTGGCATTATCGTGTTGAAAAATGCAGGGTCTTCCCTGAAAGAGATGATGTCTAGATGGGAGCATATGTTGTTCTAGAACCTGAACATAGTTCTCTGCATTAATGGTGCCTTTCCAGACATGCAAGCTGCCCATGCCACAAGCGCTCATGCAACCCCATACCATCAGTGATGCAGGCTTCTGAACGGAGCGTTGATAACAACTTGGGCTATCCTTGTCCTCTCTGGTCCGTATGACATGGCGTCCCAGTGTTCCATAAAGAACTTCAAATCGTGACTCATCTGACCACAGAACAGTCTTTCATTTTGCCACGCTCTATTTTAAATGACCCCTGGCCCAGTGCAAATGTCTGAGCTTGTGGAGCTTGCTTAGAAATAGCTTCCTCTTTGCACTGTAGAGTTTCAGCTGGCAACGGCGGATGGCACGGTGGATTGTGTTCACTGACAATGCTTTCTGGAAGTATTCCTGAGCCCATTCTGTTATTTCCTTGACAGTGGCATTCCTGTTTGAGGTGCAGTGATGTTTAAGGACCCGGAGATCACGAGCATCCAGTAGAGTTTTACGGCCTTGACCCTTACGCACAGCGATTGTTCCAGATTCTCTGAATCTTTTGATGATGTTATGCACGGTTGATGATGATAACTTAAAAGTCTTTGCTATTTTATGCTGGGTAGCACCATTCTGGTATTGTTGCACTATCTTTCTGCGCAACAATGGTGGAATTGGTGATCCTCTTACCATCTTGGCTTCTGAGAGACACTGACACTCTGAGAAGCTCTTCTTATACCCAATCATGTTGTCAATTGTTGTTGGCTTTTCCCTCTTCAGGGGTCGTCACAGTGAGTCATCCTCCTCCACCTCACTCTGTTCTCTGCATCCTCTGTCCTCACTCCAACTACCTTCATGTCCTCTCTAACTGCTTCCATATATCTCCTCTTTGTCTTTTTCTTGACAGCTGCTTTTCTAACATCCTTCTACCAATATTCCCACGGTCCCTCCTCTTGACATATTCAAACCATCTCAGTCTGGCCTCCCTAACTTTATCTCCCAGTTGTTCAATATGTGCTGTACCTCTGATGATCTCATTCCTAATCTTATTCATCCTTGTCACTCCTAAGGAGAACCTCAACAACTTCATTTCTGCCACTTCCAGTTCTTTCTCCTGTCTTTTTGTCAGTGCCACTGTCTCCAGACCATACAGTATAGCTGGTCTCACCACTGTCATGTAAACTTTTCCTTTGACCTTTGCTGACACCTTTTTTGTCACAAATCACTCCTGAAACTTTTCTCCATCCATTCCATCCTGCCTGGACTCTCTTTTTCCCTTCTTTACCACATTCCCTATTTTCCTGGACAGTGGATCCCAAGTACTTGAAGTCCTGCACCTTTGTGACCTCTGCTCCTTGTAGCCTCACTGTTCCACCGGCCTCTCTCTCTCATTCACACACATGTACTGTGTTTTACTATGGCTGACTTTCATTCCTCTTCTTTCAAGTGCATACCTCCACCTCTCCAAGTTCTCTTTCACCTGTTCCCTGTTCTCACCACAGATCACAATGTCATCTGCAAACATCATAGTCCATGGGGATTACTGCCTGACCTCATCTGTTAGACGTTCCATCACCAAAGCAAACAAGAAGGGGCTCAGAGCTGATCCTTGATGCAGTCCCATCTCCACCTTGAAGCTCTCTGTCACTCCTACAGCATATCTCACCAATGTCCTGCTGTCCTCATACATGTCCTGTACCAGTCTAACATACTTTTCTGCCACTCCAGATTTCCTCATGCAATACCACACCTCCTCTCTGGTACTCTGTCATACGCTTTTTCTAAATCCACAAAGACATATTGGAGTTCTTTCTGACCCCCTCTGTACTTCTCCATCAGCATTCTCAAAGCAAAAATGTCATCTGTGGTGCTCTTTCTTGGCATGAAACCATACTGCTGCTCACAGATAGTTACCTCTCACCTAAGTCTTGCTTCCACAATTCTCTCCCAGATCTTCATCGTGTGGCTCATCATCTTAATTCCCCTGTAGTAGATCACCCTTTTTCTTAAAAATGGGCACCAGCACACTTATTCTCCATTCCTAAGGCATTTTCTCACCCTCATATATGCCATTGAATATTTGAGTCAAAAACCTCTCTGCCATCTCTCCAAGACATTTCCAAACCTCCACTGGTATGTCATCAGGTTCTACTGCCTTCCTCTTCTTCATTCTTTTCAGAGCTTTCCAGACTTCACCCTCACTAATCTTTCCTACTTCCTGGTCCACAGTTTCTATGACCTCTACTCTTCTTTCTCTTTCATTCTCTTCATTCATTAGCTCCTGAAAGTACTCCTTCCATCTTCCAGTCACACTCTCCTCACTTATTAGAACATTACCATTCCTATCTTTAATAAGCCTAACCTGTTACACATCCTTTCCAGCCTGATCCCTCTGTCTTGCCAGTTGGTACAAGTCCTTCTTGCCCTCTTTAGTGTCCAGTCTCCTATACAACTCATCTTACGCACTCTGCTTTGCCTTAGCTACTTCCCTCTTTGCTCTATGTCCCATCTCCTTATATTCCTGTCTCCTCTCTTCAGTCCTCTCACTGTCATATTTCTTCTTGGCTAATCTCTTTCTTTGAACGGCGTCCTGCACTTCATTATTCCACCACCAGGTTTCCTTATCATCCATTCTCTGTCCAGATGACACACCAAGTACCTTCCTATCGTTCTCTCTAATTACTGTTGCTGTAGTAGCCCAGTCATTTGGAAGCTCTTTCTTACCACCCAGAGCCTTTAACAGCTCCTCTCTGAATTTCTCACAACATTCTTCCTCCTTCATCTTCCACCATTTGGTCTTCTTCTCTGATTTTACTCTTTTTCTCTTCTTCACAACAGTAGTCATTCTACACACAACCATCCGATGCTGTCTGGCCACACTCTCCCCTGCCACAACCTTACAGTCTCCAATCTCCCTCAGGTTTCCTCTTCTACACAGAATGTAGTCGACATGCGTACTCCTTCCTCCACTCTTATAGGTCACTCTATGTTTCTCCCGCTTTTGAAAATAGGTATTGACTATAGCCTTTTCCATACTCTTGGCAAAATACACCCCATCTGTCCTTTCTGGTTTCTTTTCTTGACACCAAACTTACCCATCACTTCCTCATCCCCTCTGTTTCCTTCACCAACATGTCCATTCAGGTCTGCTCTGATCAACACTCTCTCCTCCCTGGGAATACTCTCTATCACTTCATCCAGATCTTTCCAAAATGTATCTTTCTCCTCCTCATCATATCCAACCTGTGGAGCATAACCACTGATTATGTTTAGCATCAGACCATCTACTTCTACCTTCAGGCACATCACCCTATCTGACACTCTCTTCACCTCTACTACATTCTTTGCCAACTCCTCCTTCAGGATCACCCCTACTCCATTCTCTTTCTATCCACACTATGGTAAAACAGTTTGGATCCTTCTCCAATGCTGCGAGACTTGCTGCCCTTCCACTTGGTCTCTTGGACACATAGAACATCTACCTTTCTTCTCTGCATCATGTCAACAAGCTCTCTACCTTTGCCAGTCATTGTCCCCACATTTAGAGTTGCAACCCTCAGTCTTACATTCTTCACTTTCCTCTTCTCCTTCTTTTTCCTGATATTTTTCCCTCCTCGTGGTCTTCGACTAAATTTATTTTTAAAATCATGCATTGTAATTTCAGGATTTTTTAAAATTTAGATTATGTCTCTCACAGTGGACATGCACCTCAATGAAAATTTCAGACCCCTCCATGATTTCTAAGTGGGAGAACTTGCGAAATCGCAGGGTGTTCAAATACTTATTTTCCTCACTGTAGGTCACACGTGTGCGGTCAGGTCAGTTTTTCACGATCAGAAAAAAAAAAGAAAAGATTAAGTATTTACATGGACACCATTCGGGTTATGAATCGGCATAAACCACCTGTTTCGTTCTGATCACAAATTCTTTCAGATCGCGCAGAAAACGGGGTGTTTACATGACACATTTTTATTCTGAAGCGGCCGTTTGATCCGATTACTTATGTCTATGTAAACATAGCTATAAAGGGGTTCAGTATCTTGCCCAGGGACACTTCAACATGTGACTGCTGGTGGAATCAAACCCCCAGCTCTCCCAATGGAGGACGACTGCTCTAACCACTCGGCCACAGCCGCCCCAATATGTCTTTTTGGTCAATCTCCAAGAGCTTCGTCGTTCTGTCCACATGGTATTTGTGTTCATTCTTCCCATCCAAACTGCTGCAGCTCCTTCGCAGGATCACTGGTGCCCATGTCCAGTCATCACTTTGCGAGGGGCGGGGGACACCCTGGAAAGGTCTCCAGTCCATCACAGGGACACATAGAGACAAACGAGACAAACAATCATTCACTCTCTCACTTACACCCGTCCTCTTTAATTGCAACCTAATACTCTACCCGTCATTTGCCCTGAAAGTTAAGAATACAGAACAAAATTTGTTAAATTTTTTAATTATTAAGGAACACAAATCTAAAATTAACTAAACAATACTTAGTTTTTTAGGGAGTGGTGTCCCAACGCCTGTATCGGTATCTATATCAAATCTGATTCCAGCCTCAATTGCTCATAAAAACACCCTAATGCTTCAAATGAATATCACTTTTATGCTTGGTGACATCATTTCCTCTTCCACTTTGCAAGTAACCGAGGATAAAAACAAATGCCCATAGTTTAGAGATATTTTATGATAAACATGGGTGATGTTAAGACAGCAGATTTATGTGTTCTCAAGTCAATGTGTAATATATAAGTACTAAATCATTAACTACTCAGTATCAGTATTTAGTATCAGCGCCTACCCAAACTGAATTACTGGTACTTGTACTTTGAAAAATAAAAACTAAACAAAAAAAGCTAGTATTGGGACATGTCTAATTTTAGGGGACAGTTAGCAACTCTATCAGGCATCTTTGTTGTGAACTGTGGAAAATCTTTACTTAAAACTATGAGAGAAAAGCAGCAATTAACCTACGTACATGAAGATCAGTGAAAATACTTTTCTTTTTTTGATGGTGTTAAAAATTGAACCGTGATCTCTTGTGACCTTTGCCAGGATGGTATGGATATGGGGATTGTAAATGCCGGGAACCTGCCAGTGTATGATGACATCGATAAGGAGCTGTTGTTACTCTGTGAGAACCTCATCTGGAACAGAGACTCGGATGCTACAGAGAAACTACTGGCCTATGCACAGGTATACACAAAGACTGTTGCACAGTACCACGCTAGGCTGTTAGGTTTTTGGTTAATTTTCAGTTCAAGCCTGTCACTGAATTCTTAGTGTAGGAAAGCAGGAATCCAGTCTTATGTCAGTTATATGTTTTTGTATGCAAATATTTGCAAAACTATATTCTAGGTTCCAACAACGTTCAGTCAGGTCATCTGGATGGATGACCCGTCCAGATGACCTGACTGAACTTTGTTGGATTTTATACCTGGATTATTGAGCATGGACTTTGGTATATTCTAGGTTGTACACATTATTTGAGCACAGCTCAGCCCACATCATACTCTCCTTGACCTGCTTTATCCTCACCTTGGCTACTGCCCCCATGCTGGAAGTTAATCTAGCAAAGTACATGTATGAAATAAATATAGGCTGATTTGGACTAGTTTGTCCAACTAAGACAGGACTGCCCAATATGTCGATCGCGATCTACCAGTTAATCACAAAAGGTATGGGTAGATGGTGTGGCATTAAAAACATAGATGTCAGCCTATCATCCATCTATGAAACTTGTCACTTGATTGACAGACAGGGCAGACAGATCTGTCTTGATTGACAGACAGGGATACTGGCAACAGGAAGACTATTTATGCTATGAATTAATGAACGGAAAAGGGGTATGATTATATAAGTTAAACTTCATCATACTCCTTTTCAGACTCACAGTCACCAAAAAAGTGGAGTATTTACATGTATTTGAGTATATAAAAATTGAGTATGTATATTTGATAAGATATTGTATTTACACTTAGAAACATGAAAGTCTTTATTATTATGTTTTGTTGGTGAAATGTCTGTCTGAAATAAAAAATTATCATCATCAGCCAGTCTGAGGCCCCGTTTACACGATGTGAAACGTTTGACCGTTCATTTACTGACAACAGCCTCATTCTCCCTGAAACTTAAGGTTTCTGACTCCAGGTCTCAGAATGGAGATTTCCAGGGGAACCCCCCACAGTGGTCTGAAATGCTCTGAAGTGAAGTCTCACATGTGCAGTACAGACAGCTGCAATCCAGAGTTTTTCTGCACTAATAGTTATAATAAATGACAGACTATTTTTGTGCTGCTCACCCTTTTTCAGCATGTAGGAGCAAAACTAATACAATCCAGGCTCCAAAGAGATGGTAGTATATTCACCAGTTTGGACATACACTACATGGACAAAAAAAGACGCCACCTGGATTTAACTAATCAAACATGTACGAGCCTCCTGTTGGATAATTACTGCATGGGTGATTATCTTTCAGCTGCAACAAGTTATTTAACCCCAACTGGTGCAATGAGTTGCTTCTCATTTCTTAAACAACCATGTCAAAGACACATTGCGTGGTCGTGGAAAAGATGTCAGTCTGTTTGAGAATGGTCAAATCATTGGCATCAATCAGAGAAAACATCTAAGTAGATTGAAGAAACTACTAAAATTGGATTAAGAACTGTCCAACGCATCATTAAAAACTGGAAGATAGTGGGGACCCATCGTCTTCGAGGAAGAAATGTGGCAGTAAAAAAATCCTGAATGATCGTGATCGGTGATCACTTAAATGTTTGGTGAAATCAAATTGAAGAAAAACAACAGTAGCACTCGGGGCTATGTTTAATAGTGAAAGTAAGAGCATTTCCACATGCACAATGTGAAGGGAACTAAAGGAACTGGGACAGAACACTTGAGTAGCCTTAAGAAAACCACTAATCAGTGAGGCTAACTGGAAAAAAAATGCTTCAATTTGCTAGGGAGCATAAAGATTGGACTCTGGAGCAATGGAAGAAGGTCATGTGGTCTGACGAGTCCAGATTGACCCTGTTCCAGAGTGATGGGTGCATCAGGGTAAGAAGAGAGGCAGGTGAAGTGATGCACCCATCATGCCTACAGCATAGTCATCAATGTAAGATCTTGGGAAAAAATTAATGCAGCACTGGATGGAAATAGATCTTCTGATGGTGCAGAAGCTTATCGAAACAATGACACAGTGAATACATGCTGTAATCAAAGCTAAAGGTGGTCTAACGAAATATTAATGTTTGACCTTTTTTTTGGTGGCAAATTTTTTTTTTGCCATGCAGTGTTACTTATCATTCAAATACTGCATGCACAATGAATGCAGCTGAGCCCAGCGTCAGGGTTGCCAGATAAATTTAAATTGTCTTATTTACCTCCTTCTTTTCTGTGCACATGTTCAACAAATACAATGCACACCTCATCTTAAAAAAAACTTTACTGAGCACAAATGACAGTTTAGGTCAAAATACTATCATTTTAAAAGCGACATACCATGGTTTATAATTTCCTATCTGGCAACCCAACTGACATGGAAACTACAGTGTTTTCCTGTAAACCCACTCATTTTTTTTTTTATTACCCTCAATAAACATTGAAAAAACACTCAAGTTTCCAGAGGTTGTTCTCGTGTAAACGGGGCCTTATAATTGGTAGATCACTTTGACTTGGTCATTTTAAAAGGAGTTGCAAGATGAAAAAGGTTGGGCACCCCGATCTAAGATTATTTTCCAACAGTGTAGTAGAAGCTGGGCATTCAAGGCTGGAACCTCAGATAATTTCTGTCATGAGGAGAGCTTATGTGCAGGTGTCAAAATATATACAGCCCTACTGCTTTACAACACTGGTTCCCAAATATTTCAGGCACGGACCCACAAAATAACAATGGAAGGGACTTGTGACCCCAACTATTGCTGATTGAACTGGGTTTTTTTTCAATTCAACCTTTATTTATACAGGTAAATCACACTGAGCCTCAAAGACTCATTTACAAGTGAGACCTGTTTGGACAGACAATAAAAAATTGTGAAAATGTCACACAGGGTTTGGAGACAAAAAAATTCCCAACACACTCTTAATCTTTGGTTGAAGGTCAATAGCGTGATAATGAAAAATATCTTGCACATAAACACATAATGATGCAGACATTCCACAGGGGTGGGTTGGGGGATGTAAGGATGGTGAGTAGTCCAGAGGCAACACACAGAGACACTGCAGAGTTCAGATAAAATCACTCAGTTTAAAAAGTTCCCTTTGGAGAGATTCGTACACACTCGGGAGATGTCAAGAATGACCAAGGACAAATCCAGAGTCCTGAAATGATGACAGAATGTTTATTCAGCTGAGCTCCTCTGAAAAGTCCATGGAATTCCTCGGTAGGAAGGAGGGAGGGGTAGAGAATCAGATTTACAAAACTTTCAGGCTTATTGAGATAAGATGACCTGTCAAGGCCAGTCAGGGAGCCAAATTCTGATAAACACAATTGTTTTGGGGACAGGCAGAACTTTAATAACATCTACCTTGAGACTGTGTCGGTCCAATCTGTTCCGAAACGTCCAAATTAAATGGCCACACCAATGGACCATGCCTGAGAGTAATCCTCGAGATCTGATCCATCCTGCCAAAAGCAATTGAGTCTGGGTGCTTGAGGCACGAACCAAGCCATCACATAAGGCAAGCAGCCTGACCAGGTCCAAATTTGCTGCCGACGACTTCCTTGATTGTAGATAAACCAGGAACCAGCCAAATCCAAAAAGCAGGAACCAGTTATCATAAATCCAATTATATATGCGTCCTTAAAATCCATCAATGACAGCAGAGATAGACATGTCATCAAGTCTTCCAAGTCAATGAGATATCCAACTGCGTTCGTGCCAACAGGGCAAATCGGTTCACCTAAAGCCTGTCTTCACTTCAAAGAAATGTTATCAATTGTGTTGAGGGACCAACTGACCAAATCCAAGTCCATAAATTATGATTTGTAAGATTTGTAGAAGAGAGGCTCTAAAGCAGTTTCGCAGACAGACAGAGCAAAGCGAAGCGTAAAGGGAGAGGAGGAGAAGACGTCCGCCCTTGACAAGAGCAAGTGTTGAGTAAACATACAATATTTAATCTAATTAAACAAGGGCATAATGGCAACACAAACATACCTTATAACTATTTTAACACAAGGTTTTTTTAATCCAATTTTGACTGTTTGCCTTAAATATAACAAAATATCAAATTACGATCTGTTGTTAAATTTAATTTTAAACGTTTAAAAGTACTGAAGATTGTCTCAAGACCGTCACTTAGAGCTTAGCGGCCCACAGTGAGGTTCTAATATGAATTTTGGGAACTACTTCTCTGGAATTATAAAACTAAATGGAAATGTGTTTGAGATGCATGAGACTGTGAACATTTTAGGATAAATTTTGTCAAGAGCTTATTTTAAACATGTTGTTTTGTCCAAAACTCATTGAGCTGCTGGATTTAACAGAATGGTGGATTTTGTTAACAGAACAACGTGAAAGGAGGGAAGAAAGTGATTCAGACAGATGAGTGGAGGACAAAAGATGTAGAGGAACGGTTGGAGTATGCCCTCATCAAGGTAAAACACAGCCAGTTACTGACATGTATACCGTACAACTCTTTCTATATCTGTATGAAGGTCCCCCTTTACAATCACATAAAGATTCCCTGTAATTTTCACTGAAGATGGAACCTAGAGAATAAACATTTACAGTACCCATTGGTTCAGTTAAGACTTGGTTACAAAAATATGATCTCATTAAATCTAAATTCGTATATAAATCCATGGCTATTTTTAACAGTGCCATACTGCACTTTCATAAACATGTTTGTTTGTATTGGTTAAAAGCTAATATGTTTCAGTATATCCTGATGCATGCTCAATAATCCAGGTAGAAAAATCTAAAAATGTTAAGTCAGAGTTTATTGTCATTCGCACCTCATGTGGTACATGTGGTGGAGCGAAATTATGTACACAGGGTCCCAGTTACATCCAACAATAAAATGTAAAAGAAAAACAATGATAACATCTAAGATATGAACTAAGAAAAACATCAACTAAATATACACTAAGCACTAATAGCATAAAAAACATTACTTCGAACATCAGCTAAGTTAGGTCTTCTGGACGGATTCTTCTTGTTGAAACGTTTCATCTTTTATCCAGAAGACTTCTTCAGTCTGAGGAGCTGTAACAAATTCAGTCTTATAAGGTCATTTTCACACCTGTTAGTCCAGTAGACTCTGTTCGATTAGGGACCAAAATGTGGAACATTTGTTTACGTTTTCAGCTGGTGTGGTTCACATTCATACTAGGGCTTTAACAGACTACTCAAGTAATCTACACATCGATTCCTAGGACATCTATCGAGTTTTTTAATTTCACGTTGAGTATTCGTGGTGACGTCATTACATCGGTGTTACGTCATTGCGTCACGTGCAACTTGATCCGCACCGGGCGCGGGTTACAAAATGGATTCCTCCAAGCAGGCAGATGGAGCAGAGCAGGCCCAATCTTGACAAACAGGTAGAAATGCATCAATAGTATTGAAATATTTCACTAAAGATGAATCTTCTGGTTCAACTACCGTAAGGAAACAGAAAATGAATCAACTTCCTGACTGTTTGGAGCTCATTGCGAACCGGCGTTACACCATATTCTGTGACTGTATATTGTGACCGTAGGGGGCGGTGTTGCATGCACTAATTAAAGTTAATTCAACTGAAAAATTATAAAAAGACAAAATTATGGAATCTCTCATATTTCCCTCAAACATGTTTAAAGAAGAGACACCGCCTTTGGTTCGACATTATTCTAACCCACAGATGTACAAATCACAAAACAAGCATTACACTTTAAATTAAAGCTAAACTTTAATTCAAAGCTAAAAATAATTTGTATACTAGAAAAATAATCTGTATACAAGAAACAAAACCACAATGGGTGCAAATACATCAAACGATGAAGAAAAATATAGAATTTTAAATATAGATATCCTGATGCATGCTCAATAATCCAGGTAGAAAAATCTAAAAAAGTTAAGTCTGGTCCTCTGGACATTCAAAAAACAAACAAAAAGGTAGAAATGTTTCTTCTTTCATCCGAAATACTTCTTCATTCTGAGGTGCTGTATTCAGCTCAGTCTTATATAAATAACTATGAGCTGAATACAGCACCTCAGACTGAAGTCTTTCGAATTGGACACGCCTCCAGAATCTGTCCTAAAGTGCAGGTGCAAATCCAGGCTGAGCTGAGCCAGGCTGAGTGGCGGTGTGCAGGGCTGAGCAGAGTTGGGGCTGATTAGGGGCAGTGCAAAAGGGGCATAAGTAAGCAGCGCACAATACAGATGTGCCAGCTAAAAAGCAACACAGACGTGTCTGACTTTAACCCCCCACACCTTCAACAAAAATTACGGAAGATATGAGCACCCGGCCAAGACAAGTAAACTAAGGGAAACACTGTATACATGTATTTTTTTGTTGAATAATGTTCTTGCTTTTCTTTTTTTATTTCTTTTTTCTTGTGTCGTTACTGTCAGGGCATAGATAAATATGTGGTGGAGGATGTTGAAGAGTGCCAGACCCAGTTGGACCGCTACAAGCGACCCATTCACATTATTGAGGGCCCCCTGATGAATGGTATGAAGGTGGTGGGGGATTTATTTGGAGCTGGGAAGATGTTCCTGCCGCAGGTATCACTTTTCTCCACCCTTTCAGTCAACTTGGTGTGACCAGTTATCTTTTTTTTATTTTTTTGCTATTACAAATTAGCACTATTAAAATCTAATTTAGTTGGATTTATGCTTTATTGATCAGCTATTGATCCTTTATTGATCCTTTGCAGCAGCAGTTGTCACCCACAGACAACAGCATCAATGAGCTATTCCTAAAATATTAATACTAACACTAAAAAATACTCTAATTTTCACACAAATTAAAGACAAATTGTATGAATTCCTACAGAATTAATTAATGTTTAGTTTGTCGTAGCCAACATCGTCATATAATAATGGTGACACTTGATTTCAGTGCTTTATGTAAGAATATCAACTTTTTTTGTTGTTGTTGAAAATCAGCACTTCGGTTGGCCTTGTTGCAGTTTTAAGTACTTTATAAATAAAGTGGTATGTTACTGTAAACAGTTTTTTTTAATCGGACGTTGGATACTAAAATGTAGAAATGTATGAATTGCTTCAATACAAACCTTTTTCTTGTTTTTTTCTGATCATAAGTGTAATGAACGTTATTTAATTAATTTCTTCAAATGATTTTAAATAAAACAACAATGGAGCATTTCTGATGGAGTGTCCGACCCACCGGGCCTTGTGTTTGCAGGTGATCAAGTCAGCCCGGGTCATGAAGAAGGCCGTTGGTTATTTGATTCCTTTCATGGAGAAGGAGAGGGAAGAAATGATGGCATCATCAGGGTCGGCTGAAGAGATGGTCAGTCACTAAATCTGAGGGTTTGGGGAAAGCTACACTCGTAACATTTGTTTAAATGTCTTTTGACATAATATGAATTCCTTTCACAGACATTCTTATGTGTAAAAAAAATAAATAAATAAACGTAGTGACCCATTTTGGCTCTGCCCATATTTAGTTTAACACCAATCTGATTTGGATAACATCTCCCGGTTAAGTGCTCTCATTATTCACTCGTGCAGTACAAAAGTTGTGCAGAAAATCTAATTTTTAAACACTGATCATTTGTTCTACAATAGTCAGAAGATGTCATCATATATCAGGCAAGTAACTAACAAGAAAGGTCTCAGATTGATTACAAATATGTTTTAATAATGTGTCTCAATGTGAAATCTTTATCTTTAGTCAGTTTATCTTCTGTCTGAATTCTGTTCTGTAAGCAGAGCCTTCCCCACATATGAGATCAGAAATTTATAATAGTGGTAATTTTTAGTCCTAACAGAACACATTTCAGGTCAGAATGTCATTTTTTATGAGAAAATACATTTTTACATTTGAATCTTCTACAGAAAAACAAGTACATAAGTACAGTGGGGAGAACAAGTATTTGATACACTGTTGATTTTTCAGGTTTTCCCACTTGCAAAGCTTGTAGATGACTGTAATTTTTATCATAGGTACTCTTCAACTGTGAGTGATGGAATCTAAAACAAAAATCCAGAAAAATACAATGTATGATTTTTAAATAATTAATTTCCATTTTATTGTGTGAAATAAGTATTTGATCATCTATCAACCAGTAAGAATTTTGGCTCTCACAGACATGTTAGTTCTTCTTTAAGAAGCCCTCCTGTTCTCCACCCATTACCTGTATTAACTGCACCTGTTTGGACTCGTGACCTGTATAAAAGACACCTGTCCACACACTCAATCAATCAGACTCCAGCATCTCCACAATGCCCAAGACCAGAGAGCTGTGTAAGGACATCAGGGATAAAATTGTAGACCTGCACAAGGCTGGGATGGGCTACAGGACAATAGGCAAGCAGCTTGGTGAGAAGGCAACAACAGTTGGTGCAATTATTAGAAAATGGAAGAAATACAAAATAACGGAAAATCTCCCTCGGTCTGGGGCGCCATGCAAGATCTCACCTCGTGGAGCATCATTGATCTTGAGGAAGGTGAGGAATGAGCCCAGAACTACACGGCAGGACCTGGTCAATGACCTGAATAGAGCTGGGACCACAGTCTCAAAGAAAACAATCAGTAACACTCTACGCCGTCAAGGATTAAAATCCTGCAGTGCACGCAAGATGCCCTTCCTCAAGCCAACGCATGTCAAAGCCCGTCTGAAGTTTGCAAATGACCATCTGAATGATCCAGAGGAGGAATGGGAGAAGGTCATGTGGTCTGATGAGACAAAAATAGAACTTTTTGGTTTAAACTCCACTCGTCATGTTTGGAGGAAGAAGAATGATGAGCACAACCCCAAGAACACCATCCCAACCGTGAAGCATGGCGGTGGAAACATCATTCTTTGGGGATGCTTTTCTGCAAAGGGGACAGGACGACTGCACCATATTGTGGAAGGATGGATGGGGCCATGTATCGTGAGATTTTGGCCAACAACCTCCTTCCCTCAGTAAGAGCACTGAAGATGGGTCGTGGCTGGGTCTTCCAGCATGATAACGACCCAAAACACACAGCCAGGGCAACTAAAGAGTGGCTCCGTAGGAAACATCTTAGGTCCTGGAGTGGCCTAGCCAGTCTCCAGACCTGAATCCCATAGAAAATCTTTGGAGGGAGCTTAAAGTCCGTGTGGCCCAGCGACAGCCCCAAAACCTGAAGGCTCTGGAGGAGATCTGTATGGAGGAGTGGGCCAAAATCCCTGCTGCAGTGTGTGCAAACCTGGTCAAGAACTACAGGAAACGTCTGATCTCTGTAATTGCAAACAAAGGTTTCTGTACCAAATATTAAGTTTCATTTTTCTGGTGTATCAAATACTTATTTCACACAATAAAATGGAAATTAATTATTTAAAAATCATACATTGTATTTTTCTGGATTTTTGTTTTAGATTCCATCACTCACAGTTGAAGAGTACCTATGATAAAAATTACAGTCATCTACAAGCTTTGCAAGTGGGAAAACCTGAAAAATCAACAGTGTATCAAATACTTGTTCTCCCCACTGTACATACACTGCAGTTCTATCAAAACACATCAGATTAATTCATTCAACCTTTATTTATACAGGTTAATCCCACTGAGCCTCAGGGACTCATTTACAAGAGAGACCTGAATTTTAACAAAGAGTGATGATGACAGTGGACAACAAAGACGACAATAGACAGTCACAAAAGAGGCATACAAATTAATTAATTAATATATATATATATATATATATATATTTTTTTTTACAAATCAAAACAAAATAGCAACCAAACAAAAGGACAGTCAAAAGGAAAGGTAGCAAAAAAAAAAACCAGAATACCAAAACCACAACAAAACAGCTAGATTATAAGGTGGTTTAGAAAACTAAAAACAGGAACATGTCTGCATTGGTTTTTGCCAGGAACTTAGCAGATGTTTGAAGCCACTTAGAGAGGTCAAGGTCGAGAGCTTCACATCTTTTTGCAAAATATTCCAGGAAACAGGAGCAGAGTAGGAAAATACTTTTTTACTTAGTTCAGTCCTCATTGTGGGGACACTGCATGTAACAATGTCCTGAGAGTGCACGCTGTAGCTGCACACATGCAGAGACATGTAGGAGATGTATGAAGGCAGCAGACCAAGAAGTGATTTAAAGATGAAAATGTACCAGTGAGAGAGTCTGTGTGAAGTTAATGATGTCCAGTTAACCAGTGAATACAGGGTACAGTGATGGGTACGGTAGTTACAACCAGTTATGAATGTTAATGCACCTTCGGGTCCCGAGTCACCTGCCCTGCCCCTACATAGAACTCTTTGAGTTTTAGCTTATCTACATCTGAAGATCTCCTGATTTGAAAAATGTAGAGAAAAACAGAGTCCTTGTTTTCCTAACTCCGTGTGTTTCCTAACTCAGATCCCTGATGTTCTCCTCTGTCTGCAGGATCCTTATCAGGGCACCATTGTCCTGGCTACTGTCAAAGGAGATGTTCATGATATTGGCAAGAACATAGTCGGTGTGGTGCTGGGCTGTAACAATTTCAGGTAAAAACGTGTGTGCAGTCATGCCTCGCTATATCGCAGTTCACCTTTTGCAGTTTTACTGTATCACAGGTTTTTTAAAACCCGTTTTTTTTATATTGAGTATACTGTACATCCTGTGCAGTACTGTACATTCATCTTATCAACATCATCTTGATTGCCATCACCAAAGTGTGTTTAAGAGCATATGAAGTGTTTAGAAGAAAGTGGGAATGTCATGATCCATGTCTGTCTCTTCACCACGCCCACCTGCTCCGCTGTGATCAGCACAATTCTTCTAACCTTGCGGCTGTAACATTTAAGAGCTTCCCTGTCCACTATTCGGTGTCGGATTATTGAAAGACTTGCACAAGTAAATCTCCAGCGATGATCTCATGCTCCTGACTGATCCCCTCATCCTGACCAAGTTTCTGTGTTCCTGTTTCACCTTGCTTCTGTCGGACACCTGCCAAGCTTTTGATTTCTGGACATCAACCTTTTTTCTGTGCTCCGACCTACGAGTATTTCCTGAACCTTAGATAAGAAGTTTAAAACCTGTCTCCTTGTGTATGACCCTTGCCTGTTCTCGGACTAACCCACTGAGTTCTGGACGGACCTAAACTAAGCATCGACCACATTCAAGACTCAGCTCTTGTGATGTTACTACTCTCTCCATCCACCCCAAACCATAACCTTGTAAGACTCGAACTCTTGCATATGTGGGTGCCAGGTCCTAGGAGGTTAACCTGGGGAAGTGAGTCTAACCACTGGATCAAGTCCCCTGATCTGAGCTCTAAAAGAGAGTCAGGGTAAGGAGGACCCTCTGACCTCTTTAAGGAACAAATTGGATTCATGATGACAACTAGATTCTACTGCTTGGTTGGTGGAATCTGGTTGTCTACAAATTCGTGTGGATGTGTTGAAGCTTGACAGTGCTCGGACTGAATGTGGAGCTGTGACAGGGAATTGGAGCAGCTGTTATCAGGACTGTGATCTCCCTGGCAGCACTCATGAATGGTGGAATAATCTGGAGAAGCTGTGAGCTCGACTTTTGGAGCAAAGGATCAATTCGGCTGTTTTGGAGTTTCCATCAGAGAATATGTACAGCAAGACTTTAAAGGCAGAAACAACAATTAACGAGTTCTGCCTGACCCAAACTGTGGCCTTGACGCCGGACTTATCTCAACTCTTCCTGGAGTGTTTTGAAAACAACAAAGATGCTTTGACTGTTTCCTCACCCCTCCCTTCCCCAAGGCCGTGGACATGTGACAGAACCTCAACTGAGCTGAAGATGAACGTCACCTCTTATCTGGACAATGGCTGAGGGGGGGCTCTGGACTATGCTA